ACACTCCATCCTCTGACAAAGAGGTTCTCTCTTTGTCAGAGTCCTTCCTGGTGTCAGAGTCCAAAGTTCAGTCTCCTATAACGTGTTCCCACTTAAAAATGTATCTACCTTAAAAAAAAAAAAAAAAGTTTAGGGTGTCTCAGGCATTCAGTGTTGAAATTCTATAAGAAACAAGTTTTTGAACAAGTTTTAAAAAATTGCTCAGTCTCAGAGTTCTGCGGATATACCTTGCTTTTTGGTGTGTCTCCTAGAGTTTGGTATTGAGCTCTTTTTGATAAGACGGTGAAAAATAATGTCCTTGTTACCTTGACTGCCAGGAAACTCTTCCCTAAACTGTGGTTCTTTTGCAGCACATCTCAGCCCTAGTTCCCAGGATAAGTCTCTCTTTCTTAATATTTGTGATCTTCCTCAACCTTTGTTTTTATTGGGCTGTGCGCACCTCTGTGGTTTTGAGTCGGTAAACCCCTTGAGTAATGCTGAGTGTACCTGTGGGTTGTACGTACTGAGTCACTTGGCCCAGCAAGGTTTGACCCTGCCTTTGGAGCCCGGGTTGGTGAGTGTGTGTTCTGCACTGAGCTGGAGTTGAGCTGAGCTGTCGGGGTGACCTGGTGGTTCCTGCAAGCTCTGTCTGTGAAAGGGCAGGAGAGCCACGCTGGCTCGGGGGGTCATGAAGACAGAAAAGGCGTGTGCCAGGTTCCATTTATCGGTGACGGTGGGCGACCCTTCTCATCCCCAAGCTCAGGCTCACAGAGTCCGAAGGCCTGCTGTGTCTTGTGTACTTTGCAGAGGTTGGGCTCCTCTCCATCTGCAGGAGAGTGAAGCGGGAACAGAGCGGCCCACTGCAGGTATGTTGTGGTCAACCTGGCCGGTTGCCCGGGGCAGCCTGGGCTCCAGGCCTCTGTTGCATTCGGCACACCTGCTTCCCTGGTTTGGCTGTGATTGTTGTTTTGGCATTAAAATGTAATTTAGTTCCCCGATACTCGATTGGTGGTCTCGAGTGCAACCTGAGGCGGTCCCGGTGCTGTGTCCAGTCCCTGAGCCTCCTCTCCTGTCCCACCCCACACGGAGGCCCAGCTCCTCAACGTATGGGCTGCTCCCCGGTCATGACAAGTCAGCCTGGACCCTGCTCCCCACTCCAGGGCGGACCCTCGGTGCAGCCCACCCTGTCTGCCACCTAGGTGAGCCTGTGGCCTCTGGTGTGGACGTGCAGGGAACTGTTCGGGATTCCCTGCTGAATGCCCTTGACACTGTCTCCAAGGTCGTATTTCACATCTTCAAAGAAAACCGAAGTCTGTCCAGGGAAACTCAGAGCTCCTGAGTCCATCGCTTGCCTTTACGAGACGATTCCTGGATGGGGCAGCCCCGGAATTTGACACTGCTTTTCATTCTGGCTTACTGTGAAAAATCAAATACTATATTTTACCATAAAATACTTTTCCCAAGCCATCTGCTCCTTCTTGCGTGCAGGGCCCCGCCTCTCCTCCTGTAATTCCCTCTCCTTTCCTCCCAGCAACTCTTCTTCCTCTGACTCAGCATGGGGCTTGGCTCAGCATGGGGCTTGGCTCTGTGCCTTCCTGCCCGGCTCTCCTGGCCCCGCTGCCCGCCTCTCTGGCCGATGCTTCTTTCTCTGTCATCGTCTTTACCTCTGTATTACCCCTGTCACAAGATCGTGTTCATTCGCATGGCTCTGTCCCTCAGCAGAGCGTAAGCTCCGTAAAGGAGATGCTGTCGTGTTGCTCTTTGGACAAGAAGGACCCTCCGCATCTTGACTGTGTTTGGGTGTAGGCTTCAGGCTTCACTGGAACATGTGGATGTGTTTCCGTCTGCAAGGTGGGAACTTGCACTTGCCTGCTTCTGGCTCCCGAGACAGGGCAGCTTTCTCTCGGGCTCTTCTCATTGATGGTGGTACCGTGGGCGCCCTATACGGTGGGCTGCGCCGTGCTCTCCTGCATGCAGTGCTGGCGACTCGGGAACGCCCATGAGACTTAACTGGGTGCAGACAGGCTACGAAGTCGAGCGTTGCCTGTGATGCCGGAGCCCCCCAGCCAGAGAGGAGCATGGACTGTCAGGATGGCCAAAGAAGTCAATTACCCCAAATAATCCGCTCCTTGATCTAGACCACGGAGATGAAAATCCCAGTTGGATGGGATCCTGCATTTTGTACACGTGTGTGTGTAAGACATAAATTGTTTGTACCTAGGAGTGTATTTAGTTTTTTAGTTCTTCCCCCAAATGAATCATTGTAATATATCTTTCTAAAGTGTTTCTATGATTTAGACTAAAACAGCATTACGCAACTCTGAGCTAAGAAGTTTTGTTTTTCACTTAAAAGGTGAAGGACCAGGAAGGATGATTAAGCATGAGCGCGTGTATTAGTTTGCTAGGATGGCCAGAGCACAGGACCACGGACAGGGGGCCTTACACAGCAGAAATGTATTTCTTCACATTCCTGGAGGCCAGAAGCCTAGGATCTCATGCTGGCTGGGCTGACCACGTCTGCCCTACGTTAGCATCGTCAGGCCCAGACCGTGTGCTCGGTGACTCCGGTAAGGAAGCTGATCAGTACGGCTGCAGGTGTCAGAGGGCGGCGCGTCTGCCCTGGCCAGCTGCCCGTCCTACAGCTGTTCGTGAGGTGCGGGCCATCCACGCTGTGCCAGCAGCAGCTTCGGCGGGCCCTGCCAGCTGTCGAGGGCTTTCTGGGCTGCCAGGGCTCTTGGAATCAGTGGTAATGGCTTCCTCCATGGAATGTCGTCCAAAAGCAATCATTCGCTGGTTTAACGGCGTGTGCCGTGTTGTCACGCGTGCTGTCGAGGGGCCAGGTGTCCCCGTATCCTCGCTAACCCGGATGTTGTAGCATCTTCTCGTTTGTCAGGGATCGGGTGTTCCTTTTAACAGATCTTTCTTGCATTCCCCTGCCACCCTGGCATGTCTTTGCATACCGCCCCCATATTATTTTCATGTGATACGAAAGCAACAGTCTAAAAAACTCGGGAAGACTTCTCTCATCCTACACCTGCTGTCCTCAAGGGTGCGTGGAAGGTTTCTCCCCTCAGACGCTGCCAGTTCTGGAATATAAAATTGGCTAAGTGTCAGCAGTTGGGGGTCTGTCCCTACTGTATGACCCAGTCCCCTCGTGGCGTCATTTTGACTCCGTTCTCCGGTCCTCCTGAGGCCAGAAGCGACAACTGTTTGGCTTGAGATTTCCCACCTTGAAGTGATAGTTCAGCTCAGCTCTGCATACACTTTCTTCATTTTAGTAAGTCGTGGTTTTATTTTGAATAAGCCTCTTTCAACCTGTTAATATTAGTCTCAACTAAAATTAACCTTCCCCTAAATTATTCTCACCCAGAAGAAGCAAAGTAATTTTGAAAGTTAAATCAAAACAAAGCAATCTTGTGTGTCAGGCTGATAAAAATCGCAGACTGTGGTTACGGAGCGCCTCTACAGGAATCGCTTACATAAAGCTGATTTCCTCCAGTCTGGCTCCTGGTTCTGGAAGGAGCAAGGGAAGTGCTCCGGCCTTATCACAATTCCATCCCGTACAACGAGCCCCAGAGGGCTGTGTAAACAGTGGCGAAGAGGGAGCTCTGCTTGCAGCTGGCGTCTGTGGACAGCGATTGTGTCTGGAAAGGGGACGCCCGTCCTCGGCCTGCCCCGTGGCAGGTGGTCCCGTGGATGTGTGTTGGAAAGCACCCCCCAGCCCGCCGGAGTGAGAAGGGGGTTGGTGGAGTGCTCCAGACAGAGCAGGGAGCTGGCCTGGGGTGTGGATTTCAGACCTGAACAGGGAAACCGGTCACAGCTCCTGACATGGAGGCGGATGTGCTCTGTTACCAGCTTTGGCTGTTCTGAGTTTACACCCTGCACTTAACCCGCGAAATGGATTAGAGCTCGAAGGTGGAAGACCCAGGGACCTCTGAGACCTTGAAATACGCTGGCCGTTTCCTTTGGAACAGTTTCTCAGCTTGTCATGATCCTATGGTGATCCCCAGCAAACAGGGCTTTTCTATTTTTCATCGCTCTTTGCCCGCCACTCCGGGGTACTGGAGGGGCCAGTGGTTGACGCCGCCTGTGTCGGTGACCGTGGCCGCAGCCCTGGACCAACAGCGCTTACCCACCGGAGCTGCCCACCGACAGGCAGAGGCGCGGTGGCGCATCAGTGCTGCACTTTATTTAGCTTCTTAGGGCAAATTACCCCGAATCACTGATTTCTCAAGTAAATGACAGCCACCCGAAACTCACCCTTGAGGGAGTCTGAACCATATTTTGAATGTTGGTAACTTGGGCAGTAAGGTGGTTATCTCGCAGCCACCAAGTTCTTTCTTTCCTCTCTTCCATCTGCTTTACCTGCGCCTCTCTTCACGGGACCCCCCCCCCAACTCCAGGACTTGGGGTGGCTTTCCTCCAGCACCTGCACAGAGCCGGTGGGGATACTCATTTTCCAATGGTTGCTACGTTTCCTGATCAAGGCAGCTCCGGCCAGCGATGGCATCACCTGCGGAAAGAATATGTGGTTTTTAGAAGGAGAAACAGTGCATCTATTTGACAGACCTGGGGCAGTTACTGTCTGCTAAGATTTCCACTACAGATGCAAGAAAAAAGTGTCCTTACGCTTTCTGTCTGTCTGATTGTGGCAGCCCCGGTTGAATGGGGGAATACAGGGAAGAATTGCAGCTCATAAATAACCTTGTGAACGGTAAACGCCTCCTTTATTCCAAAGAAGAATTTACAAGAGTTTACAATTAAAAAAAAAGGGTGGGGGGAAACAGATTCAGGGATTCTCTTTGAGCTTTCCAAACATCCTTTTGGTCGCTTTAAAGCAAACCATCATTTGGTGCGCCTGCTCTTTTTGCAGCGACGTCTCAGGGAAGAAGTGGCCCTTTAAGAGGCACCTTCATAGCTGTTCAGATGGGATTGGTTGTCCCCTTAAATATGGGTTCCCCCGCCAGCCCCCGAAATAAGTCGGGGCTGGAAAGTAAGGAGCTTTCCTTTTGTTGTTTCAGGTCTTTCTGAATAATCACCAAGCGGCCGAAGGTCACCCGCAAATGGTTATCTTACGGCTGTTACGCCACATCATCCGTCTGGTGTGGAGGATGCAGTGACAGCGGGTTCCTCACGGAGCCGGGATGTGCGGACATTTTGCTCGTTCAGACCGACAAGCGCAGCACCTCGGTGTCTCGGTGCCCTTGCTCTGCAACCCGAGGTCCCTCGCTGGAGGGGGCGGGCGGGGAGCCTGCCGGCGTGTCCGAGCTGCACGTGGACCTGACCTTGTCTTTCATCATCACCACGCGGCCGAATTTCTAACAGAAGCTTGTTGTGAATGTAAATGAGGGAGGATTCTCTTTTTAAACAATGTACAAATCATGGTTCTTTGGAGCAGGATTTTATGCAAGAATGGTGTTTACATGCCGTTTTTTTTTTCCCCCCCACCTTCTTTGATAAGAACAGGTTTTTCAAAAAGGAAACGGAAACTTTTTAACCAACTCGTGAGTGATTTTTGTACTAAAATTTTAAGAACCTTTGCCTACTCTCAGAGGATTGTGTAAACTCCACAGTGGAAACTGAGCCAGCTGATTTATAAAGCTGCCTTAGTTTATTTTTAGAGGTCACCGTACAGCATTTTTAAACAGGAGAGGTATGATGTGGCCCCTCCCTTCCCTGCCATTGCTTCTTGGACCTTTTTTTTTTTAAGTCATTATTATTAATACCAAAAAAGTTCTTATGAAATGGAACTGGTAAAAGGGGCAGAGGGGTCTCTTGTCAGCCTGTATTGACGTGCCACTCCCATTTTGTAAATATCTACTTACCTCCTTAAATTCAGTTGCATCTGTGGCAAAATTTCAGACTCTCTTTGTGTTTCTCCTTACGTCCTTTGGTGATGCTCCTCCAGCCTGTTGGACACTGATGCACACATTTGGTCCAGTGTATTTTCATGGTCAAAAGTATAAGTGGGTCTGAACATGAGTTAGTATCTGCCTGTATCAGACACAGGTCTGTTTGTCTATTGGTAGCTTACTCACTGGGAGGTGCTCGATGTTGGTTTTCGTTTGGTTTTGACGGGCTTGTCGTTTAGAAGTGTTCTGAAGAGGCAATGGCAGTCGTAACACAAGGTATGCACTGTTGGCTTTTCTGGTTGCAGGCCTTCCCACATCACAGGACGGACTCTCAGCCTGAGGCCCCAGGTGGTTCCCATGCCCACGTGCAGCTGAGTTCCATCGAGGTATCCAAGCTCGAGCCCTTGTGGGAATTGGCGCAGGCTATGGGCGGGACTTGAGACAGCTGTTTCCTGGGCATCCTGGCTTTTGGTCCAACTCAGAGTTCATCTGGCTTTTGATGGCTAACACTCGGTTCCCACTCTCTGAAATACAGACTTAATTCTGCTCTCAGCAGTTCCATAAAAAACCCCGTTGGACACAAGTCTGAAATGGTCCCTTGGCCTTCTGACAGATGTCTGTATCACTTGTTCCACTTCCCTTGGGACGGCTGGATTTCGTCAGGCCCCCTTCACGCAGCCACTTCTGTTGGGGATGCCCTTCCTCCGCGCCTGCCGCGATTATGGCAGAGAATGGAAGCCCACGAGTTGGTCAGTCTTTTCAAAGGCAGTTAAACTACTGGGGAGACCCAAGAAAGATTAGGGGGCATTGAAAGAGGGGAGGTAGAGATCGTTCTGTGAACCCCATCACTCATAGTTTTAGAAACCTCAGATCGTTAAACAGCTTTTTAAAAAAAGATACGTGATTTTTCAGATGAGTCAACAGTGCCAACAACAGCTATCGTATTTGCTTTTGGCCCATCGAGAACCAGTGTTTTCACGTTATCAGTTGGAAAAATTGATTCCTTTTGTATCTTCATAATTTTATATAAGTATATATATATATATATATATTGCATATACACTTTCTTCTTAGGTAGAGATATTTGACTCCAAATATTCTTCCTTCTAAAAATTTTCTTTTCCCCAGATATCTTCTTGGGGTCTTGAATTGTTTTAAAGCTGTGTTGAGTCTCAGCTTGTGTCCTTGACATGTCTTGAACCCCTCTGCAGGGTCCTCAAGTCCACGCGGTTGTTAAGGTGGTTGGTGGAATTGCAGCCGTGGGCCTGCTGGACACACACACCAAAGACGTATTTGGTTCTGGGCCGCTCCCCTCCCAGGATCTCTATACGGGCCAGTCTCTCGGACTGGAGCACTTTATTCTGTTCCTTCAGCCCTGGTGCCCGGGGGCTGAGCGCTCGCTCGCCCACGTGCAAGTTTACCTCGGGCTCGGCGGCCTCCAGGCCCCCGGGCTGGCCGTGGAAGCAGCTGGTGAGGAAACTAGAGATTCTATGAATTGTAGAAGTATTAAGAGGATGTTGCCCCAGGACTTAAGAGAGGTGACTGGACGTCTCTGTACTGTACGTATCTGTTTATCAAGATGCCTCCCTGCAGAAAGTATACCCACTGTGGGTGTACCTTTGACTTCTTATTTTTCCTTTCTTTGACTTTTTATAGAGAAAAAAATAACTCGATCCCTTTTTGGAAACTGAATGCGGGTTTTGTGCCTTGACCACCTCGTCTCACGTGAGGTTTGTAGAAAGTGTCCTGTGACTTTTCACAGAAATGCAATAAACACACGAAATTAACTTCAAGAGTGAATCTGCAAATCACCTGGACTCCTGTTTATGAAGAATTTTTTTTTTTCCTTGGTTGTGGAGAAACCAGGTGAAAATTTCTTCCGAGTTAAAAAAACAAAAACAAAATGTACACAGTAGACGACAGCCGTCTCCTGTTTCCCCTTCTTAATATTGTATATATTTTGACTATTTATTAGATTAGGAAGTCATACTTTACTTATCAACTGAGCCAAACGTCTGTGTGCAATTATTATGTTTCCTTTACCTTTCTTGTAAGATTTTGTACAGCATAAATGAGTAAAAAAAAAAAAAAAAAAAAAAAATTCACTGTTTTTACTAAACTTTTTCAGAATTGAGGGTTGTAAATATTGTAGATTCTTTTTCTGTGTAATGTGTCCTACTGTTTCATGATGCTGTAACTTGTAGAGATGTTGTATATTTATTTCCAGCTTATTTAATGTCTTAAATTCTGAAAAGTGTTGACCTCCCTGACCCCTAGCCCCTGCTGTCCTGTTAATTGCTTTAACTCGAGGTGGCCACTGGTTACCTCACTGCAGGCCACGCGGTCTCCCCGGGGTGGCCCTCCAGCTTTGGTTCCTGGTATTTCTAGTCAAATGGGTTTAGATTCGTAGAGTTTGCTGTCCTCATGATGAAGTTTGTGTTTAGACACCAGTGAGAGACCATAAACCTAGCAGGCTGTCAAATTCTACTCTAGAACTTTCCAGTGACTTTCTCTTGTTCCCAAATGGCTAGCTTCTCATGGAAGCAAATGCTGTTAACTCCAGGCTGTATTTTAAAGCCAAAATATATACGTGTGTGTGTGTGTGTGTGTGTATGTATGTGGGGCGGGGGGGGGCAGGCAAAAAGTTCGTTCGGGTTTTTCCATTACATCTTATGGAGAAACCCGAACGAACTTCTTTTGGGCCAACCCAATATGTGTTATTGGCAGTTGGGAAGGATTTTTTCCATTGAAAATTTATCCCTGACAATACTATGTTCAGAGAAATGGAAACGTCGTCTTCTGGAGGTGCCGTCGTGAGATTGTTGAGGGCAGGGGCCGGGCAGGATGAGGCATAGTGGGACCAGTGGCCCCTGCTTCCAGAGACACATCAGGACCTCTTCACACCCCTAACCCCTCACTGGCAACTGATGAGTAGTTGAGTTCCCGCCACCCGCTCTGTGGCTTCCTGTGCTTTGAGGTGCGAACTAAACTGTGTGTCTTCAGGAACTAATTGTACAGCCCCTGCCCTGAACCATTCGGTCCCTGCATTTGATCCACCTGCTTCTTCAGGGTGACGCTTTCCTTCTGCTTCTCCAAAGCCTTCGAGAGAGGTTGGGGGCCCCACTGGACTGGCTGTTAAGAAGTGGAAGCTTGAAAGAGACTTCCTAGCGGTTCTGTGTCGATGGCTCTGTCATCCCTGCTGATTTAGCCTGGTGCCTGCGTGTGTCCACCCCGCACACGCGTGTGTGCAGGAATGTGACCACGCGTGTCGCTAAACCAGCTGGGGTAACTCCTGTCCTGCTCCCAACAGCATTGTGTGCAAGAAGCAGCCTCAAGCTCCCGGCTAAGTAACTTGACTACTTTTATTTGGGAATTTCAGACTTTAGAAGCTCTCTTAACGTTTTATGTCCAGGTTCTGTGACCACTAGTTACTGTATCAGAACTCATCAGGTACTACTCATTTATAAATAGCACTGATCTGTCTGTATACTGATTCATCACTAACTTGTCTCCTAGGACCCAGCATACTGTAGCATATGTATTGCAATTTCCCTGGCTTACTTGTGTTTTGCACTGATGAATTTTGACAGGGTAATTGCCACTTTACTTGTGCAATACTGCTGTAAATAACTGCAGATTTTTTTTTTTTAAAGAAACTCGATCTTTTATGTTCTTAATGAATTTTATATAAATAAAACTTTCAACTAGTTTTGGTGAGCTGTTTGATTTGTTTCACGAAATGGTGGAGAAACAGCTGAAATATGGATGTATACACGCCCACACTCTGCCCTTATCAGTCATAGAATGTATTACGGACACTCAGATTCGTGAATTCTCGCTTGAAGTCAATTCTGTGTAGTATACTTAAAAGCAAACCACTCTTTAAAGTTTTGAAGTGGCTGGGGAGAGCGACTGCAAAGTTTTCTGCCCACGTAGTCAGGTATGACTCAGCACCTGGATGGGGGGTGGTACTAGGTGACAGATCTGAACTGTATTGATTAGTGATTATAGCAGATTACCCTGCCATCTCACCCCATCTCACAGTTTGAAGAAAATTCAAAGGATGGAAGTCTGGTTTGACTCTAATAGAAAGCTGTTCTATAGCACCTGCTCGAAGCCACGAATCAACAGGTGCCTGGACGTGTGTGTGTGTGTGTGTGTGTGTGTGTGTGAGAGAGAGAGAGAGAGAGAGAAATCACTGCCATCTTACAAGGGTCCACGGAGTTTGGAGAGACCTGTGCTGCGTGGTAGGTGTGAACTAGTTTAGGAATGGCAGAGAGAAATAGGCTGATTTGGGGATATAGGTTATAAAATCCTAAATAAATTACGTAATTTGCCACTTTTGCTCTGAAATAAGTGCTGGGAAAGTTAAAGCCTGGGTGAGCTTTGTTTTAAGCTGGTGATGGAGTAATGCCTTTCATTTTCATTAGGCAAGCAGTACATGTGTGTATATATACATTTATTTCAAATCAAGTGGTGGTTCTGGCTCGTTGCTCATCCTGCTTCCTCAGCAAGGCAGGAGTTTGGATTTTTCCAGCCCGTTTTCTCTGCTCTGTGTGTGTGTGTGTGTGTGTGTGTGTTTACTTATTCAGCAGTCTTGCTTTTCTGTAAACGCTGTACAGTCAGTATGTGGTTCTGACTTAGCGGGAGGTCATAGGTTTTTCCGTAGTGACTCCATTCTAACCACTGCGCACAGGAATAAAAGCTCCTTGCCTGGTGTCCTGCTATGGCTTTTCTGCATCTTCGGCGCTGCCCGGTCCCTTCTTCACCAACCTGCAGGAGAGGTGCCGGCTGATGGTTCAGGGTGGTGGGATTAGCGGCTTCAACAGACTCACAGGTGCTGCCAAACGCTGTTCTGCTTCACACGACCACCCGCTGACATCTGCCAGGCGTCGCAAGATGATACCAGCCTGGAGGGGGAAGAGGGGTGCTGTTGTCTGAATTCAGATTTTCCACTTTCAAAGAGGATGATCTTTTCAGACACTGTGGGTATCTGCTTTTTTTCCCGTTGCTTCTTTTCAGTTGGGTTTTTTATTTTTCCTATTGATAATTAGCTCTTTGTATATTCTGGGTAAAAATCTCTTACATCTTGGAAATACATTTCCTCCAGTCTTGGTATCTTTTTTTTCTCAACATTTTATTGTGGAGATTTTCAGACCTACAGAAAAGTTGAAAGAATGTACAGAGAACACCCGTATACCCACCACTTAGATTCTGCCTTTCACATTTTCCTCTACTTCCTTGATTCTGTATCTCTCCATCCATTCTTGCATCTTACCTTGTGACGCATTTCAAAGGAAGTCGTAGTCATCAACAACCTTATCGCTAAATACTTCAACACGTATATCATTTAGAGTTCATTAATTTTTTATAAGTTTTTCCTGAGATAAAATTTACAGGTAATACAACAACTCTTAAGTATGCATTTGCTAAGTTTTGTTTGTTTTTTTGTTTGTTTGTTTTTTTCTTGTGGTACGCGGGCCTCTCACTGCTGTGGCCTCTCCTGTTGTGGAGCACAGGCTCCAGACGCGCAGGCTCAGCGGCCATGGCTCACGGGCCCAGCCGCTCCGCGGCATGCGGGATCCTCCCGGACCGGGGCATGAACCCGCGTCCCCTGCATCGGCAGGCGGACTCTCAACCACTGTGCCACCAGGGAAGCCCAACATTTGCTAAGTTTTGACCAAGGGTGCAGATGTCACCCAAACCCCTATCAAGATAAGGGACATGACCATCACTCCTGAAAGTTCCCTCGTGCTCCCTCTGAGGCAGTCCCTTCCCTCTTGCCTCCAGGGGTGATCTCAGTTCTGATTTGATTTTTTTCCACCATAAATTACTTTTTAGGTAGAGTTTGAATGGGATCATGCAGTATGTGGTCTTTTGTGTCAGATTTCTTTTTTGCTCAGCATAACGTTACAATCATCACTAATTTCCTTTTTCTTGCTGAGTAGTAGTCTGTTGTATGAACAGACCACACTTTCTCTGTTGTCTTATTAATGAACACCTGAGCTCTTACAGTTTGGGCTAGGATGAATAAACTTTCTACGAATATTCTTGAACACATCTTTTTGTGAACGTAGGTTTTATTCCACTGCATGTCTTTGAACTGCTGTCGTGTATTTGATGTAGTTCTCACCACTTTAGAAGTCAGATTTATTAATCTTACTTAGGTTTCTGTATTTTGTATTTTAAGAGCCCTTCCCTAGGCCAAAGTTTTAAATATATTTTGTGATATATTCTTCACGTAACGCTACAGTTTGTTTTCGTCTTTAACCCACCTGGATTTTTTTTTTTTTTTAATGCTATAATGTGAATCTAACTTTATTTTTTTCCCCCATAGACAGCCAGGACTGTCGTCTTTTCTTCACGTGAAATGGCTCTTTGACATCTACCAAATTCTCCTATTATGTGGTTCTGTTTCTCAGCTCTTCTTTTTTCCAGTGATCTTTTTGTTTTCATCTACATTATGCTAATTACTGTGGTTTCGTAATATGTTTTGAATTTCTCGTCTTTATTTTTCAAGATTGTCCTGGCCGTTCCACATTTTGTCTTTCACGTGCATTTTGGAATTAGCTTAAGCTTCTTGACAAGTTCGGTGAGTGTCTTAATTTGGGACTGCAATGACCATATTCATTTAGTGAGCGTTGCCATTTTTCCAAGACGTTTTCCAAGGCAGCCAGCTCGTATTTTCATCTATTAGGCTTCTTTTTGATGATGTTAGTGCACTTGACTCTTCTTTCCATACATCCTGCACATTTTTTTTTTTTTTTTTTTTTTTTGTGGTACGCGGGGCTGTCACTGTTGTGGCCTCTCCCTTTGTGGAGCACAGGCTCCGGACGCGCAGGCTCAGCGGCCATGGCTCACGGGCCCAGCCGCTCCGCGGCATGTGGGATCCTCCCGGACCGGGGCACGAAGCCGCGTCCCCTGCATCGGCAGGCGGACTCTCAACCACTGCGCCACCTGGGAAGACCCCTGCACGTTTCTTGTGAGCTTTTCTCTAGGGGGAGGGATGGGGGTCAGCCAGCATCCAGCCCACCCACTCCCCCCATTCTTATTGCCACCACAGTTGCTCTTTGTGTGCCTCCCCCCCACCGTTGCCTTCCACCTTTGAAACTTTCCTTGCCCCCAGGACAGCCGACGGCAGCCGTGGCCTAAGCCGGGCCAATCCAGCACTCTTCCCCAGCACTTTGAACCTGGAGCAAGCGAGGCAAGAAGGGGCTGACGGGAGTGCAGCATCCTTGCAGCTGGGTAGGCAGGGAGGCACACGCGCATTCCCTGGCCGTGGTGCCTGCCGGGCGTGCCTGTGCCTGGTCTCCACGCTTCCTGTTTGTTCCTTGAGCGCAGGGCCCCTCCCATGAGTTCTCTCTGTGCTAAGTCAGATGCTGTTGCCGGCAGCCTGAAGCGCTGACTCATTCCTACCTGTCAGGAAAGACTGAGTCAAGGGTTGTTAGGAGTCCCCCTATGAACAGTACGAATTCAGAAGGTGTGAGGTGATAGGTTGAGATAGGCTGGGCGAGACCAGAATGGGGCTGTGAGAAGAAGGGAAATGACAAGGGAAAAGGATGCTCTCTCATTGTCTCACTTCTACCACCGGGCCTCCTTTGCCTGAAACCTCTCTTTCCTGAGGCAAGCCCTAAGTCCTTAGGAGAATTTAGTACCAGGAAGAAGACACAGTAGAAGGCCCTTGTTTCTGGCCTGTTATCCCGTTTATGACATGCATTTCCAAAAGGGATTCGGGAAGGTGAAACTATACTAGCCGCTCAGCTGTCTCCTTACGGCAGATTTTGGGAGACTTGGCTCTATAGTAACCCCTCAATCTACTGACTAAACAAGATCAAACTTGGGGAGCCATTCTCACAATACACCCTAAAGGGCGTGGGCTTCCTGGCCCGGGAGGACATCAGAGAGCTTATACCACCTGGTTACATTTTTAGCCCTCTAGGTGGTCATTTGTCTAAACAATTTATTCAATCCAAGTATGTGTATTAAGATCCTACCATCTCCCAGGTGCAGATAAAAATATAAACGTGCTTGGGCTTCCCTGGTGGCGCAGTGGTTGAGGGCCCGCCTGCCGATGCAGCGGATGCGGGTTCGTGCCCCGGTCCGGGAAGATCCCACGTGCCGCGGAGCGGCTGGGCCCGTGAGCCATGGCCGCTGGGCCTGCGCGTCCGGAGCCTGTGCTCCGCGGCGGGAGAGGCCACAACAGTGAGAGGCCCGCATACCGCAAAAAAAAAAAAAAAAAAAAAAAAAAAAAATATAAACGTGCTTAAAACTCAGACATGCTACTATTGCTCAGGGTCTCCAGGCCAGTAAGCGGAAAGACCACAGTAGAATTCTGTACTGGAATTGCAGAGGGAGCTGTTTCCGGAGCTTGGAGAGTGAGAGACCCGCAGCTCCCCTGGGTGTCTCGCCCAACCCCCATCCGGCTCCCAGAGCCCCGCACCCTAACCCCCATCACCTGTTGTGACAACGAACCATTGGGCACCTGGTATGTGTGAGGTCCTGTTCACAGCACCCCATCATCTCAGAACAAACAAACAGCCCTTTAAAGAAACTGCCGTTACGACCCCAGGTGCCGACATAGGGAAACTGAGTCACGGGGCATTTAATCTGCTTGCCGAGGGTCACCGAGCTCGTGGGTGGCAGAGCTGGGGTGTGAAGCTGGGCAGTGTGGCTCTGTCACCGCACCTAGGTCTACCTGTTCCTCCGTCC